AAACGCTTTTTTTTTTCTCCCTACACCTGTATAGTCACTAAACATAAAGTATAGGACATTAGTAAAGAGACTCCACACAAAGTTAGTAGTAAATACAACAACAAAACAAAAATGCAAACATGAAATATGTCACTCGTCAGCCTTCTCTTTTCCGTCAAATAGAACAGCGTACAGATATTTTTGTGAAGTTAATCAATCAGGGAATCTACAAACATGTAGATGCTTATGACGCGTTTCAGGTCATAGGTCAAGTTAGAGCTAATACGTCTGGTTTTCACAAAAGAGGCTTTTTCACTGTCTACATGAATACACCAGGGTAAAGTTTTCAATGTGGAGCCTGTTTGAAGAAATCCCAAACGCGTAGAATCTCCTAAAACACTGTTTCCATGTAGACGAAGGGCACAAACGGTGACAAACTTTCCTGTTTCAGAAAGAAAAAAAATTTCTTATGCTGAACATAACACCAGTATGAGTCCTGACCTTCACACTGCCAAACCCCCTTGGATACCGTCTCAGTTTCTAATGATCAATTGATTAGCGATATTTAGCTTCTGCTGTTAAGGCAGAAAGGATGTAATTAGTTGTTCACACATAGTTTCTTTTTGGCTTCAGATTTTTTTTTCCTAAATAATGACTGTGGAATCTAATGTGTGTTTAGCTCAATTTGAGGTCAGATTTAGATCGTTTTATAACCCTATAAAGAGCAAATATAAATGAACTCAGACCTTGGCAAAAGTGTTCTGATAGTTAAAATCTCTGCTCCCAAACATTTGCATATGGTTTATTTTCTTTTTCCACTAACCCTCCCCCTGGCTTCCCTTCCAAACAAAAATGATACACCAGTCTTGTTTGAAATGTTGGTAGAACAATATTTAATCTAACTGCAGGCCTTTAAGAGATCAGTTCGCCAACTATTGGGGACCACAGAGGAAGAATCCCCACCATAATTACAACAAATGCTAGTTGATTCAACGGCGTGTTTATTTTGGAGGGCTCTGTGACGTGGGGGGTGTGTTGTTTCGATCCCCTTATTTCCATTACTGAAGCCAGGATAAATTCCAGAGTCAACTTTGGGTCGAGCTCGGTACAGCAGAATGGTGCTGCAAACCACATCATCAAGAGTCGTTTGTTTAGCAGAGCTGTTACGCAACAACCACATCAGTTTTCTTCTATATCTAGTAAAATGGTAGATGACAAGCCTCTATCTGCCAAGGGCCGATTCTGTCTACACTGGTTACCATGTTTTTTACAAATAAAAGTCTGAAAAGTGAGGTATCCATTTGTATTCAGACCCCCCAGAGTCATGCCTTGCTCTGGGATGTATGACTGCAAGTCCTTGGGGTATGTCTCCACCAGCTCTGCACATCTATCAATGTATCAATATCAAGTCAGTATTAGTATCGGATATTACTGTGGTAAGATCAATGGTTTAGTTTTAGATTGCCTCCTGAATTTGTTTTAAATTTTTGTGCTGTAGTTTCTCAAACCTATCAGAAAAATGAAATTGGTTTGGATTTGGTCTCAAATGATAAGTTTTTGCACTTTGTGCTGAGTTTCCTCCAGAAAACCTGCTAAACCAGGTGGTAGGGGCGATAGTGGGAAACCCAGTTGTTTGTTCAGGAAAAATGCACACAAATCATGTCAGTATATTATAAAAAAAAATTTTGGATGTCGATAAACTTTGTCCATATTCTGTCGTAGGTTTGAACAAAACCATTCAAAGGATAACTTGACTAAAACTTGAATAAAAAGTACTTGTATCAGTAATGGTGTTGGGGACACGGGCCCTGTATTTACTTAGTACTGGATCAGTGCAAAAGTATGCAGTACTGGACAGCTCTGGTGAGCAGTTTAAAGAGCTTACAGTTTTCCACTACAGTTTTCCTGATCCACACTTGTCTGGTGTAAAATTTACACCCTGCAAATGTGGACCTTTTTCTTCTAGCACATGTAGCAGTAGATGCTAGAAGCTAGCCCAAACAGCTAGAAAATGCCAGCCTCCCACTAAAATACGCCTGGCTTTTTATTAAGCAAGTTGACTTCGGCAAATACGTGTGAAATCTATTCCCCGAACATATTTTTTCCTGTCCCTCCTCTTTCCTGTCCCTCCACCCACTCCCTCTTTGTCAGTTTGGACTCTCACGCAGCCCGAGGATGACTCACCTTTGGTACATTTTGTCCTGTCCATCTATCTTCGGTGCATATGGTCAATCCCAACAGAGCCTTCCAAGCTGACACAGGTAACGAGGAGTAATCCGTGCCCTGGAACTGTGCCTCATTAATCCTCACCGAATGCAGACCTCATGTGATGCTTGAAAGAGGCCACCTGTTGTTGAGGTCACTCAGGACCTGTAGTAGTGTCATCTAGGGTCATCGACAGCAATCTCTGCAATGGGTTACAGACCGGGCCTCTTCTGAGACGCAGAGGCCCGGTCTGTAAACTCGGAACAGTTTAACTGTTATCAGGTAACAATGGGGCCGACTGCTGAATACACAACGTGGGACGGAAGCCCGGGATGTTCTAAAGCTGGCAATGTGGAAAATGACATTCCTGCATTCCTTTCAGCGAAGCGTTTAAGTGAAAGTTATTTTTCAAGATATGGCATTCCTCGCACAGCTAGCTGGGTATACATATTTTTCCGGTGACTTAATGGCACCTAGAGTACAGAGACCTCGCACACATCCTGTCATTGTCTTCATCACTTCCTCTCTTTCTTCCCCCCCCCAAAACCCACACATCTGTCCACAGAGTGTCCTCCGCTGCCCCCAAAGCCTTCTGAACTCTTGTGGGCGAGAAAAAAGGGTTTTCAGACTTCAGTGGATGTCTGAAAGAGAAACGGCAAACTTTAGACAATGTGTTAACCATCTACGGTATGCATTATTAAAATGTCTTGAGTGCTTTTGTGTTTTAAAATAGACTAATAGGGCATAGTCTAAAGACATTATAGATCTTTTGAAAAGTTTTTGTGGGGTTTGTTAAAGCAGGTAACATTGTAACATAATGCACAACTGAAAACAATTAGCTTTTTTTCAATTCAAACATAGAAGCATGTTCTTGTCAGAATGTTTCCTGAAGGCAACATCGTTCTACTGTGAAAACAAGAACACTGTCTCTTGTAGAGCTATTCTTCATAATTTAGTGTAGATATTTACAGCTTAACAAAGAGACATTAAATGTTGGTTACAGTGAATTTCGGGCTATTACAGCACCTTTTACTGCATTTCACCCTCTTTATCCTCATCCTGATGCTGAACATGGAGTGTGATTTCTACATTTGTCCTCTTCAGCGTATAAAAACCTAAGAGCCTGACGTCTACTTTATCACAGCCAACATGAAATGTATCTTTAACTGATCAAAGGGAAATCATGATGAATGGAACACGGTGTATTATATATAACCCTTAATGTACTTCTGAAATAACATGACTCCATAATGATTCACTGTTGCCATAAAATTGCACTAAGCTATCAAAAATGTAATCCCCCAAAAGGGGATTTGAGTAAATGTCCACAAACAGTCATGTGACAAATTAAAGCACTCTTATAGGTTCCTCATAATTTCCCCCTCTGACTTATGTAAATTCCTGCAATGTAATGCAGTGGTGTCCAAACATTTTGCAAAATTGTGAGGGGCCATAACATATAAAGAATATTTTTATTGTGAGTTACTGCTCAGTGAAAGATAAAACATGGAATATTTAATTTAAAAGAACTAACCACTGTAAGTCTAGTCTTCACCTAGCAACAAGAACATTCAGTAAAATTAGTCAATAAAAAAAAATCACAAATTTCATTCATTAACAAAACAAAAAAAGTCAATGAATTTTTTTGACAAAAAATAATTGTCAAAATTTGTACTGTTGTTCAACGGGCTGACATTTGAACACATCTGGCGTAGAGCGCTGAAGCTCTTTCTGCAATGTCAATTTTAATCACAAAGCGCGCAACGACTCTGAAAGAAAACAGAGACGACTCCGTAAGTTGACAAAACTTTTTTCAGTTTATTGTCTCTCAGCAAGATAAAGGCCAGGATCTCACATTGCTTAGCTTTTTCCTCGAGGAGTTTCCTCAGTCCTCCATAATTTCTCAAGAGGATCCGTCATCAACCTCCTCCCCACCAACCAACATGAGCAACACATGTTATGGCATCTCTATACAAAGTTGTCCTTTACCTTGGAAAAAAACCCAACAAAAACAATAAAAATGTGCCGAGTTTAACATGGATTCCTTTCCTCTTAAGCTATGTAGGCTGCGTGTTAAGAAAACAAAAAAATAAAGGAACATTCATAGCTAGAGCAACGCCACAATTCAAGTAATGGAGGCAGGATACTTCCGGACCTCTGGCAGTTCACACAAACATCGGAGGCCGCGCAATCCCGAAAAAAAAATAAACAAAATTAAAAAAAATAAAATAAAACAAAAACCACCAGGGGTCAGGGGGGTAGAGTGCATTTTTTTTTTTTTTTTTTTTTGTGGCAAATGTCAACCTCTTGCCAACTAGCGACACCGTCAGCCACCTCCGTCATTCTCGTCACACATTGCAACAATAGAAATACTGTTGGATTGCACTTTCTTCAAGCTTTCATCTTGTGGCGTGTTTATAGAAAAAATATATATAGAATACAAAAAGCTTATACTTCTTTGAGTAACAGAATATAACATACAGTACTTCAGATTATGTTTCGATCAGCACGTCAGCAGGTGTACATACGGCGCCCTACCCTGGCCAAAATGCAGTTACCACACTAAAACAGGGATGTCGTTTTTTGCTCACTATTAAGTGCTTTGGTCAATGGGTAATAACATTGAGTATGCCTTTACAATGGTTTTCTACAGTATGTTAATGCTACATAATTATCCATTGTATATGAATAGTTTTATATAAAAAAGGGGGGGGGCAAGTAGTTAAGATGCACCATGACTTCTTTTTTTTTTCTTTTTAACATATTCACATGTGGCATTTTATTTTAACCCACCTAACTGATACCGACCTCATGTCTTTTTTTTTTTGTCCCCCCTCACAAATGCACTTTATAGTCGCAACCCCAATACATCTGGGATATTGGTTAAATCTGAAGTGCTGAATCGATTTCCAATGTCGGAAATGGACATTTCCAGCAACTGGGAGGGCACAGCGCCCCCGACGCCAGTGGACGAACTCTTGGTCGAGGATTTCCCCCTCCCGACAGCCCCACAACCCGACAGAAAGGGTGGCCCCAGGGAGGGCTTTTGAACAAACGGCGCTGAAACGCTGAAGTAGAAAATCAGTTTGAAACAGTCAAGTTGACATTCAAGTTCCGGTCCCACTTCAAATCTGCAAGATCTCACTGGCGAAAGCTGATGGAATCACCGGTAGTGCAAATCTTCTACACGATGCACCGTTTTATAACGCAGTCCTTCTCACAGGGTACGCGACGGAAAGTCTCTTGCCGCTCGATCACATCTCCGGGGCTGCGGGCGGGAGTCCCGGTGGCATGTGTTTTGGAGTCTGTAACAGTTTGTGTTCGTCGGAGTGCTGGGAAGCAGGGTCCGCCGCTTTGGCGTGCACGGGGTGCAGCAGCCGGACGTCCAGGGCGTCGTTGTGCTGCGCTAGGGAGTGGAGGTGGTAGTGCAGGACCAGGTCTTTGAGCGAGCAGTGGGCGTCGTAGGGCTCGGCGAAGCCGTAGCCGTGGGAAGTACTGTAGATCATGCAGTGCTTCACCTCTTCGTTCACGCTGCGGAAAACAGAAAGCGTCACTGAGCAACAGCCGTCTGGAACATGGCTGATTTCTACAGGTGTGGTTATACAATGCATATAAAGTGCTTTGGGTCTAGTTTCTTGTGCAAACATATCATTACACTTTGAAAAAAAAGAAGACGAAACTAACCTACACATAACTTTTCAGCAAGATTCTTTAAAGTAAGTAATTCCGTAATATTGACAAAATAGTACAAGTTCCATTGGCAGATTATTTCACCTACACAAAGGAAAAAATGTCTTAGTGAAATAATCTGCCTGTTTTGCTAGTACTTTTTTTATAAAAAATTATTGTTTTAAAAAAAGCTCCTTTTTTTTTTTTTTTTTTTTTTTACTAAAAAGTTAATGCAAGTTAGTTTTTTTTTTTAAAGTGTACTGAGATATTTGTACTGGAAACTACACCAAAAATGTTGTGTTTTTGCAGCGTTATGTGTTCGAGGTGGAGCTTATAAGTAAAAGACCTCTGAGAAATGCCATTTTCTCTGTGTTCACAAGTCAAATTAAATGCGTTCTTACATGAGTGTTTAAGTGTCAGACCAGGTTTTTTGAACTGAGCCTAAAAAAATAATTTAAAAAAAGCCTGACAGGCCTTTAGATTAGCTGCAATAGCTTGGTAGCAGCTGCAAATTTTTGTGGTTGCTAGCTGTTAGCTAGTTCTTAGAAATCATTGAAATTTTGTCAGTCTGACTTTTCAACAGAATACCCAGAATGCTTCCACACGACTAACTGGTGAACGGTGCAGGTTTCATCAACACCTTTTGTAGCTAAGTGTTGTCGCCAAGCCCAGCTAGCACTCTGCTAGCCGACTCTGTCAATACAAAAACACAGCTAAACGACAACTTCCTTACTTCAAAATTAGTTTCAACTGAATGAACAGGATGCCAATCTTAACGTGGACATCTGTTTACCTGAGTTCATTTACAGCTTAGACTTTACCAGACAAAGGTCCATGCTAACAGCACCTGCTAACAACAACTGGAAAGTCCCTTATTAGACAGACTACATTTTCACAAGAACTACTAAGGGGTCTTAGCATTGTGATTTCTCATGGCATTAAATCCACCCATAGTGAGGATCTTATCAAAAGTAGCCTCAGCTGCTGAATACTCACACAACAGAGCAGGCGTAGCATCCCTGCTTGCTGCTCTCCCGGATCAGGAACGTTCCGGAAACTTTGCCTTGAAGCATCTCCTCCGCCTGCGTTCGACTCAGTTCCCCGACGAACCAACTCGCCTCGTCTTGATGTGGTAGGTTCTTCTCATCTCCCTTCAATACGTATGTGCTGGAAGACCAAGAATCGTACTATATATAAATATATATGTCTAAAAGTGAAGCACAACTTTCTGGCTGTAAGAGCATTTGTTGAAACTTACTCATCGAGGCTGTCGTTGTGTATCCCAAGCCAGTCGTTTATGCGTTTCTGCCGTACTCCTTTGTGATTAAGCCAGCTGGAAGAACATAGGATTTTTTTTCCCCAATTAAATCTACAACGTCAGCAAAACTCAAACTGGTTTGTCTTAAGGGCTTCCATGGGTAGCCAGGGACAAAGTACTCACTTGAGATACAGGTCTCGGATGTTGCGAAGCTGGATGAGGTCAGGCCGCAAGTTGCTGATCTTCCTGTCCGTCTCTCTGTAGTCCTCCACCTGCGTCCTCAAGTCCTCCTCCAGGTGCAGCTTGCTGTCGTAAATCTCTCCAAGTCGGCACTTCAGCTTTTCGTAATTGATCAGAAAGCTACGAAGGGAGGAAGGAAGCAAATGTCACGGATCCGACTAAGATGAATATGAGGGAGCAGCATTTACTTTTTTTTTTTAAAGCCGCATCATGTTTTAAGTACCTCTCCAAATCATTGTCGGCTCCCTCCGATAGACTGTTCCTCTCGAACTCCTCTCCGTATCGCTCCTGCTCGCGACACTGCTCCTCGAAGATCAGCATCGCCTCGTTGAAGGCCTCTATTGCCGTGCGTTTCATCTGGATCTCCTGAAAGACAGGAAGAAAGATTTATGAGATTAAAAAAAAAAAACATTTGTAATGTACCGTAGAGTATTAGAGCCACATTAGGAAAAAAAAATTACCAGAATAAAGTCAAAAATAATACGAGAACAGAGTCGAAATACAATGAGAATAAAATATTTTTAGAATTTTATTACTTCATTTTCGTAATAGGCTACAATAACTTTATTCTTTTATGACTTTTCTCTCGTAATACTGTCTTTGTTCTTGTAATATTATGACTTTATTCTGGTAGTTTTATGAGTTTACTCTCGAAGTATTTCAACTTTATTCTTGTATCATTTCAACTTGGTTCCTGTACGACGTTTTTCTTGTAGCATTGGCTTTATTCTCTAAATATTATTTTATTCAAATTTTATCTTGACTTTATCCTCGCATGACTTTATTCTTGGAAAACGACTTAATTCATCTTTATTCTTGTATGACTTTATTCTCAAACTATTGACTATTCTCGCAATACTGACTTTATTCTCATAATGTCATGACTTTATCCTAGTAATGTTATTTTTAAATTCTCCGTTTGCTCTTTGCATGGCCCTAACACTGTCGTCCTAACGAAAGATGCCGACTCCTAAAAACCAGCCTGTTACCTGCGAGGTTTTGGTGAAGGCTTCATAAAGACGGTCGAACTCTTTCGACTTCTCTTGGTACTGATTGTGGACCTCTTTGAGCTTTCTGCCAGCAACGTCAACGCTGTCTTCTTTCACCTGAAGTCCAAAACGACAGCCAATCAAAAGACGTACGACTTACACTCACTTCAGTTTTTTTTAAATGTCTGTATGGTAGGACGTATTAACGGTGGCAGACCTTGCTGACCTGTTGGAAACGGGACACGGGATGCATGAGCATCAGGTCCAGCATGGCGTTGTACTCCACCAGCGAGTGGTGCTGGTAATACCAGATGAGCTCCACCACCGATGTGAATGTGAAGGGGTCCGAGAAGCCGTACTTCCCGTCACGGTGGTAGATTTTGATTAGTTTGTTGTGTCCGTCCTTCCTGCGATGGTGGAAGAAAAAAAATTTGGAAGGCAGAGAGTTAGATTGGAGAGTCACGGTCAGATTGGACAGATTTCTCTCCATCCTTTCCTCCCCTTTCTTTAACATACCGTAAAGTCAAAGTAAAATCTCCTTGCAGCTTCGTGGACGCGTCCCGCACCAGGAAGGAGCCGTCAGGTGTGTCGCGAAGCTTCTCGTTCACCTCGTCCCTGTGGATAAATCAGAAGACATAGGTCTTACTTTCCAACAAACCAGATTTAGTAAATCTGGATAAATAAATAAAAAATAATAATACATTTTTCATCCCGAAAAAGTTGCATTACCTTGTTATATCTCCCCAGTACCATTCGGCGTCCTGAAGCGAACATACGGGTGGAGAAAGGCAGCTGTTGTTCATCGCTGGCTTTGTGGACCGGGGAGGAAGAGCTACACACACACACACACACACACACACACACACAAAGTTACATTTTATATGTATGGTGAAAGGAATTACCATCAGATTAAGTCCTCCGGTTCACACCACCACACACACCCACTTCTTTAAAACACCCTCAGATGATGAAACTGGTTAGGATCTGAGGGCAAGCCCAGGCATGTTTCCAACAGATGTCAGGAGGCCAAATCATTAGGAAGACTCTGAGTGGGGGTCATTATCTCTTCAGATGTGGTGGTGATAAACCGGGAATTTTTAATTGCACAAAACGTCGGAACAGTAATTATTACTAGACTAAAACAGCTTTTTTTTTCTCCTTTAATTTTGCTTCTTGGAAGCTGACTTCAGCTGTCCCGACAGGTGTGGAAAACCTCTGGATTATAATTCAGACTAGCCCTCCTATCCATTAAGTTTACATAGTGTACATTTTCAAGGTATATAAGAGAGAGAGAGGGAAAAAAATTCTAAGAGTCAGCATTTCTTTAAAATAAACACATTACACGTATAAAAAGTAGGGCGAACCGCATCAAGAGGAGTTGAAGGGCGGTATATTTCACGGCCGGACAAAAGTGCCTTTCATGAGGCGGTCGGGGGGG